TCTGCCTTCAGATAGACCTGATCACATGACAAAATATATATATTTATATATAAGTCATCTAAAGACATGTTGAAATTAAGATTATGTTAAGTTGAATTAAGTTCAAAACTGTTTTTACATAATCTATTAATAATTGGCTGCAAACCTCTGCTTATAGAACACACAAACATCATTAAAGGTAACCCCAAGGGGGTGGTGTTTTGGCCAAGAACACAACTGACGAGGCGGAGGTCCTGGGTTCAACGCCTCACAGAATGACATATTGGGGCTTGCCAAGTATCACAAGAAGAATGGTCCCACCCAAAGGGTGAGGACATGCCTATGAGCCAACAAAAATAATGGAAAAGAAAAAAAGAACCATTAAAGGTACTTAGGTACTTTTGTACTTTGAGTACTAAATTATGTAAGATGCAGAGAGTATAAACGAAGTTACGAAAGATATGACTAATTTTTCAACAATATTGCTGTTGCATGGCAGGTGGCATACTATGGAGCAACTATCGACACCAACAAAGTGTATATTAAGAATCCAAAAGCAAAAAATACTATGACATCAATAATACCTCTTATTTATTGCTTAGCATGGGGCTCTACTAAATATTGCATTTCCTTATCAATTGTCATAAGGAAAGAAAACATGATTATACTAGTAAAAGACATTATACAAGACAAATTCATTCTCTGCATTGGTGGACGTTCTCCATCCACACCCACCCACTTCAGAACTTCCAAAGAAATCAACAATTAATTCACCAATTCTTAATATAAAAAAGGAGAAGGTAGTTTCCAAGCAATGTTGTAGCTAATACATCTCTTCATTCATTGAAATACTAGGACATAATTTGGTTTAAAATTTATTTTTCTTTTTGATTGGTTGAGATAGAGAAAATGTTCAGTCTTCTAACTTGCACCAAGATTCCATAACTTTCTTAACAAGTATCAATGGAAAAAAGAGAAAAAGAGGTGGCAAGAAGAGGAGAAATCATCAATCTTTTAAACAGTACTCTTTCATCTCATTATTGGCTATTTGTCATAACAATTACAATAAATGAGCATCACCTGATTATATTGCCATGATCCAGTTCCTTCAAAAGCGAGATTTCTCTTATTACTGAACTGGGGACACCTTCATCTTCATCTCCAAAGAAAATCCTCTTCAGAGCTACAATCGCATCGGTCACGCAATCACGGCACTTGTAAACCGTACCAAATCCACCTTGTCCAATCTTCTCAATCAGCTCATACTGCGAATTGAGTAGGATGAACAGCCATGCAAAGAGACTTGGAGTAGTAACAAAGTAACCTAGAAGTAAGAAACCCTACCTTATTGTCCATTTATCAAGTCAAACAGGACCACCACCGAAGGAAAATCTGAAGTTTTTGATCTGGAAAAATTGGAAAATGGATTTCTAATAAATGGTCAATTAACAAGGGAAAATAAATGGATATGTTAACACATAATCAAGCTAACCGTCAAAATAGGACAGTTGAAATACAAAGAAACTCAAAAACTTTCAAACCACAAATCTGCATTGAGAAGAAAGAAATGAACTAATGAACAGACAAATCAACTAAGAAACTTCCAAAAATTTAACCAGTACAAATAGAAAAAGAAATGAAACCAGACGTGCCAAAAGAAAACATTTGGAGGGACACTTGACCAGAACTTAAAAGCCATGAATGCAATGAGTGGTTATCCATAAACAAATGTATCTAAACTCTCAGTCCTGAACAAAGTTTGCAATGCTAGACATGCCAAAGGTAGTCATAATAGTTTTTGGAATTCCTTAGATCCAATCAAGAATAAATGTCCTTTTTGCCTTTTCATTTCTTGTAAAGTCATTTATCATGCATAATATTCTTCAAAATATCTGTTCTTCCAACACTAGTTAAAGTAGCACCTAAAGTACAAAAATACTAATCTACCTAGCTTAAAAAGAAAGTGAACCCAAAACAGTCATTTTATTCCTTCTGCTGCAGAAATATTTTACATTTTCTTTAGCCAATCGCTATAGAAATCAAAACTCCAAAAGGTTGTTTGGTTATGAATAATTTCAATATTGATATTATACATCCCACTATTCGTATTTAGCAAGACGCTAAGCACCAAAAGAGATTCATTACCGCACTAGAAAACAGAAGTAAAGGCAGCTCGAGATCACAAAACATATTAATTGTTAGATAATTTAAGATCAACAACTAAATTCTTCAATATGCAGACGATAATTTCATCTCTAAAGTTCTGAATTCTATCTTCAAATCTTTCAATTGTTTACTCAAGTGTATTATATTCCATCTATGAAACTTAAGAAATTGTAATACGTACTGCTAATGAACATATATATCTTGCACACTCGATAGTACAATCAGAATATCAGACCAGTATTCAATTCAACACATAAAAGAACTAGAAAGTTTATACAGAAAATCATCCTAAATCATCATCATCATCGTCATCGTCATCTCAAAGACGTATAAATACAGATCTATGCATATAGAATATATATATATGTACATGCGCTAGGGCTTACATTTTCCTAATATAGAAAAAAGACCTTATCGCAATCAACAGTTATTGACAAATTGTATATTGAAATTGAAGATGTTATATGTGTGTATACGCACACGACCTTCAGACATACATAGCAATCACGAGATCGTAGTAATCAAGAGATCGTATGGATCTGACAAAGCTCAAGCTAAACCAAATATTAAAACTAAGATGCTCTAATTGAAATTGAAGATGATATGTGTGTGTGTAAGTGTGTGTTTAGAGAGAGAGAGAGAGAGAGAGAGAGAGAGAGAGAGAGTTTACCTAGAAGAAATAGTGACGATCACCGGTTTTGCCCTAATTTCTTGATTGTTTTCGAAGTCGAACTATAGTTGCAGATGAGAGCTGTAAAGCGAAAATCTGCTGAAATGAGGAGAGAGAATCTTATTTATACACACAAATACAGAGGCGTAACTGCGTTTCCCTCCAAAATCAGAAAGAGGAGAGGCGTAACTGCATTTCCCTCCAAAATCAGAAAGAGGAGATACTGGGGTGTAGCGATTGTAAAGTGCTCTCGATCATCCAACCCCTCAGGACCATTGGATGCATTTTGAATGTCAGCACAACTTATTTTTGCCTTAACAAATCATGATGATGATGATTGCTACAACATTTTTTAATTTTAATTTTTATAAACGAATGGATTTGAAGGTGAAGAAGTGGAGTTTAAATAAAAATTTAAGAAGTCAAATTAAAAATTAAGAATTGCAAAGATATATCATGTTATTTTAAAATTTACACAAAATAGTATTCCCTCTATCCCAGTGTTATGTTTAGGGGATCGTAACTCACAAACATGATATTTTGTATGGGAATCGTGACTCACAAATATGACATTTTGTATGAGACTGAAGGAGTACGAAATTCGACCTTACTCATCTATTGTTTATGAATTTTTTATTTTTTAATATTCAATTTTTATTATTCTTTTATATGGACCTGATTATAATATATTGATCAATGTAAAAGTAGATAGAGTTTCCATGCAAAATGGATTGTATTTTATTACTAAATCTCTTTAAAATGCACATAAGTAACTATAAAAATTAAGAGTGGCAATTGGGTGGGTTTGGACTGGTTATGAATGGACGGGACATCAATAAGTCACTAACCATTATCAAATATCAACCCATTATAGTAGATTAAAAATGAGTTGGGTGTTAAATAGGCTGAGCCAAACCTAAACCACACCCAACCCAATTACCCAAATACTTTTAAAAATAAATTGTCAAATATTTTTAATTCTCGAATACCAAAAAATAAAAAAATAAAAAAATAAAGAGGAAATTACTCTCTCTCTCTCTCTCAAATTTTTTAGAGAGCAAAAAAAAGAGTTAAAAAACTTTTGTTAAAAAAAAAAAAAAAAAAAGGAGAAGAAAGAGAGAACAGAGGAGAGAGAAAGGAAAGAGAGAAACGGAGGAGAGAAAAAAGGGGGAAGAGATGAGAAAACAGAGGGAAAAATAAATAAAAGAAGAAAGAGACAGAAAAAGAGTTTTGTTTGAGCGGGTACCTACTATTCACTCATTATTTACCCATGAATATAATGGGCACCCATTTTTTACCCATTAATTACCCATTCATTTAAATTGATTGCCCAAATAATTTAATTTTAATGAGCAGATTTGAGCGATTTAATGGGTTTCGTTATAAATTGTCACTCATAATAAAAAGTTCGGTAAGATTTGTTACATTTTGTATAAATACATACTATATGATTCATTTAAAAATTAAAAAGAAAAAATCCAGTACCAAAAGTGAAAAAAGTCTTTTTTATTTGTTTTTGTTACCGTAACTGAACAACTCTAGCAAATTTTTTTTCTTTCTAAAATCAATATAATATACAACTTTTTTCGTTTTTACAATCTTCTAAACATTAATTTTTCTTTTAAAATATTGAATATATTTAATTTACCAAACTTATGAATGGTTCACAATAAATCACATTACCAAAAAAAATAATAATAATAAATTGATATCTTTTCCCACAAAAAATGTAACCTTTGATGAACACCAATTCAGTGCTTGTCAAAAACTCTCCGATAATAAGTCTGTGATCCGAGTTCTGCGTAATGGGAGTTCTAAAATTAAGCAAAAATTTTTGCCAATCAGTGACAGTTTTGAAAGGAGAACAAAACTAAGGTTGGAAGCTGCCCCCCTCCAGTGATTTCAAAAGTTGGGAATTTGAGGTTGATTTGGTGCTTGGCTTTTGCTTCAGTAAATCAGCCTTTGTAATCTCATTTCTGATCAATTTTGATCAATTGTGAGCAACCCATTTGGTTTAGAGAGGAACAAAGCATTCGATTTTAAAAGATAAATGTAAGCCAATTTCTCACAACACATATTTATATACACATATACATCCATAGTTAAATGCGCATAAAGTTGAATTCTCATTGAAATAAAGCTTTCCTGCAATTAATTCATAATCAATCTGCATTCTCAGGACGTGTTTAGTTTTTAGACGGATAAATGGACAAATTCTCATATTACTGTGTATGGCGGCACCGAATTCCCACCTTGATTTGGTGCACCCAAACATAACAATCCTGTTTTCGCAATTACAATCCTGTTTTCGCAATTAGCCTCATTAAGCTGCTTACAAGATTCTCTAACTCTGATTAACACCATCATTGGTAAAGGAAAAAGATAAAAGCAAGACAAGTAGATGAAAGCACAAAGTAGCAGTAGTCTCTCATTCATGAGACCCCCCATTTATGTCCATTTACCTGGGAATAATAACAAACAGATCCAGAGGGGCAAATATCAGGGAGAGACTGGCTTTGTCACCACTACAAAGCACATTGAAGATGACTACGGTCTACGGCTCGGTAAATTTGTGGCAAAAAAAAAGATCTAAAGGCCGAATCCAAGCATTAGAAACAATACCCTCCACCTCTGGTGTCGTAATATTTCCACACAACCAAACAAGGAGAAATGATATTCACGTAGTTTTTGGTGAGATTCAAGACCTTGTTATCGTAACAGTTTCAGTAGAACAGTAACGGGTGCAAGTTATGTACACAGTTTTGTTAGTGGAGGGGAATAGAAGAATCAAGTTCCATAGATGCAGAGAGTACATGGATGAACGAACTATCCAACCGTCAGAGCTCAAATACGGAAGTATGCATGCTGAAGTGCATCAGAAGCAGTAATCCTTCTACTTGGATCCAAGATCAGCATTTTCTGCATAAAAACAACAGATAAAATTTATATTTTATATATATTCCACTCACTTTCAAAATGCAGTGACATTTTAAAACTAGATAGCTTAATTTAATGTGAGTGGTGGTGATCCTCAAATTCTTTATATACGATTAGAACCAGAAACTCCTTGTGATGTATCAGAATCAGACTAAGGTATATATAGCAAAATCACAACTTACAGAAAGAAGATCCAATCCAACAGCTCCAACTCCAGCGGCCTCGGCTGCAAGGTTTCGTTTGACAACAGTGCGGAACTGTCAGCAGAAGAGAAACAATTGGTGAGGACAGTACTGTTTTTAAGATATATTCTGCGACAGGAAGATCAAAGAGACAAAGCAAGCTCAAAATCCTCTATTACCGCGATCATTTTAGTAAAGTGGACACATAATGAAGTCACTCCAGGCCAGGTTGCTTCAGTTGGCACACCAAACATCCTTCATACAGGAATGCAAAAGTCAATATGACTGAATAAACTTGACATGGAAAACGAACAAGCACATAAAATCGGTTTGTGTGAGCTATATAGCACCTGAATATTTCCATCAATACATTAAATTCAGTATGTGCTTGGAACAGAGGCTGACCGGTCACCATCTCAGCAAATATACACCCCACAGACCACATATCAACCGGAGTGGAGTAATTGGCACCAAGCAGGAGTTCGGGTGCCTTGTATGCTAAAGTTCCACCCTGGAGTGCACTTCAAAAGTATGAAAATCATAGACAATGTGATAAACAAGTTGACTCATACTTGAATAGTTTCCTTGTAAAAGAGTATAATGTTTCTCGAGAAGTGATCAAAACATACAACTTAATTGCTCAACATTACATTTGCAAGGGACTTCCTTTTCTAGTAAGGCCCGAATCACAGCCTCTAGAGTGTACTCAGTCCACCACCCAATAGCATGTTGACCCCAGAAGCAGAACCCCATATTTCTTCTAGAGAATCTCCTAATTGTTCCAGAGCCACTAGAACGAAGCTGCTGGAAATAAGAGAAGAGAAAGAAACAAAAGCAGGCAAGAAATCCTACGATCATTTTTCTCTTATCATCCAAACAACATTGAGAAAGAATGATACCAATTATATGAAATTAATATTCGAATGTCACTTTTCTGACTACTGTGGGTTTACAAAAGACACATAAAGGAGAACTTCCCAAATTTCTCTTGCTTGCTATGCCCAGAGTCAGGATTCAGGAGAATAATAATTTTTTATTCAACTAGTTATACAATAATAGAGTATCAATGCTTCACAAAGATAATAAACATATTTGTTTTCTAAGTGGAAGAACAAATTACTCCACTCAGCCAACCCCATTCTGCTTGATCTCAACTTCCAGAGCAACATTCAGGAAGAATAACAATTTTACACAAAGTAATGTCCAAAATGTCCCCAAGGGGCAATCTAGAAATTATTCAGTGTTCCCCATCCCACACTAAAGATACTTTTCTTTTTTTTTGGGAACACTTATTTCTTTATTTTTATACATAAAAAAAAGGCATATCTAAATGTCTCCTAAGTTGTGGTATTCAAATTGCGCAATTTCCAGCCTACATATCCCCGTGGCAAGTGAAAAATTGTTACCAAAGCAATCAGGTATACAAAAAGGACAAATACAAGGATAATGGTAATGAGCAGTGACATACCTTGCCAGTGTAGTTCCTAAGAGGAACACCAAATGCCCTGGCCAATCCAAAGTCAGCAATCTTCACTATGTTGTTGTTGCCATCTATCAGCAAATTCTCAGGTTTCAAATCCCGGTGGAGTATTTTATGAGAATGACAATAAGCAACACCACAGAGAATCTGAGAGAGAAAACCCTGCAGAGAGATCATGTTTGAAGGTAATCGTCATTGTCATCTCAACTAACTAATCAAAGTAACTGCAGACAAACAAAATATATAACTATATATATATAATAATAATAATAAATAAATAAATGATAAAAAATAAGAAACATAAACAGGAGTATTTCGAAAACCGTATGGACTTTCCGTCAGTGTCTTTCATTCTACTTTATTCATCATAACAATAGAAAAGTGCTAGTGTCAAATAAAAATTATTCATACAATAAATAAAAGTTTATCGATCTGTAAAAGTGAAAAGAGAAGGCCGTAAACATCTATACCATTTCATCAATGCACCAGTTTAGCTTTATTTTTAAGCTACAGACATAAGTAACCAATTTACGGAAATACATCCAAAAGGCTCTCACCCACCTTTATTTTTTGTCGTTCCTTTGCAACCTCAGGATAAGATGCAATGAAGTTTGATAGATCAAGGTCCAGACACTCAAAAATGAGATCCACGCTTGCCCAATTGTTTATTATTACCTCAAGTAACCTGTTTCCAAAGTTCCACACACATTATTATATATATATATATATATATATAGAAATTCACAAAATTAGGACGCTTTACATGTCGTCAGAAGTTCAAGAAATTAAGAAAGTTAATAGAAAGATATATAGCAGATAAATCAAACATAAGAGATTTACTACTATTTGCAACCAATAAAATTTTAATTTATATTAAATAGATAAGGGCCTCTCTGAACTAAGGATGCACTATACTCATGAGACAATCAAGTTCTACATACATCCATCAACCAGAACAACAATTAAAAGAGAATGGAAAGTTAGCCCTCCTTAATATATTCATTTTGGTACAAGATTTTTAGAAGTGTGATATAGCATAAAATGCCAAAAAACAAATCCAGCAATGTCTGCCTCAGTGGAAGTAGGTATCTGATGTCTCATCTTCATTCCGCTTATTACAAATACTAGAAAGACAAGTGATATGTTGTACTGTATGATACACAAGCTATCAAGATTAATATATCACAAATAATACCCAGGAAAAATATAAATCATTGTATAAACACCATTTCACAGATGATTATTATTATTTTTCTGATAAGCCATAAAAGTCCCACATGAACTAAACCCATTGAGTTCTAGATACTACATAGTGTTGAAATATATAAATATTTCTATATAAGCGTGGAGCAAAATCCTCCACCAATCACAGTGATCCGGGTAATTTCCTTCCAACTATAAATATTTCTATATAACGGTGGGAAAAAATCATCCACCAATCACGGTGCCTCCTTTGACTATATTGTACACCTTCCATATTTTCTTATCTTTACCATGCCTATATATATCTGAATAATAAAGATGTAGCCCTTAGTGGCTCTTTGTCCATGGATGTAGGCCTTAGTGTCGAACCATGTATATGCTTGTGTTCTTTATCTTTCCCTCTTCCCTTTTCCTATTTGCATTTCTTATTTTCGCATCCAATTTTAACATGGTATCAGAGCATCGATCTTAGATTTTGAGGGGGAGTATGGAAATTATTATCATGGAGCAAATTTTCTATGTCTTCGCATTCTTTTCCGGCTTAGTTACGGCTTTTTTTGGCTTAGTTCCGGCCATTTCCCGGCGTTGTTCTGGCCATTTCCCGGCTTAGTTCCGGCCATTTTCCCCAGCAAGTTCTAGTTTATTTTCTCCGGCAAGATCTGGTCATTTTCCCCGGCAAGATCTGGTCAATTTCCTAGCTTTGTTCCGGACACCTTCTCATCATCTTTCGAGGCATTTCTTTGGCAAGTTGGGCATTCATGATATTCATGCTCCAACTTGAGGGGGAGTGTTGAAATATATAAATATTTCTATATAATTGTGGAACAAAATCCTCCACCAATCACAGTGATTCAAGCAATTTCCTTCCAACTTTAAATATTTCTATACAACGGTGGAGCAAAATCTTCCACCAATCACGGTGCCTCCTTTGACTATATTATACACCTTTCATATTTTCTTATCTTTACCATGCCTATATATAGGCTCTTTGTAACGATATATATCTTATTAATAAAAATGTAGCCCTTAAACACTCTTTGTCCATGGACTTAGGCCTTAGTGCCGAACCATGTATATGCTTGTATTCTCCATCTTTCTCTCTTCCCTTTTCCTATTTGCATTTCCAATTTTCGCATCCAATTTTAATAGATAGCATTCCTAGGAATACATCCATCACCTCAGATAGAGCCATTACAAGGAGAGGGGAAACAAAGAGAGGAGTTATCTCATAAATAATGTCATAAAATTTAATTGTTACTTTAAGGACGGGTTTGTAATGATTATCACAGAAAATGATGAAGCCTTTTATTTTCTAGATTTATAATCTTTTATTTCTAGTTCTATAAAGACACAATGGGACCATACGCCCCTTGTGAGTCATAAATTTTTCCTTTGAGAATTGTGATTAATTCACCAAACATGGGGCTCATAAAAACAACACACGCATACACATTCAAAGTGCCCCAAGAGAAGAAAATAGAAATAAAGCAAAAACTAAAATAAATTATCGAAGGACTAAAAACTTGCAACATTTATTGCCATCACTCACTATGCTGAAAGGAAAACAAGAATAGTTCTAGAGTTACCTTATTGTCAAGGGTTAAAATGCATGAGACTTGCTGCAAGCTTCAATAGGTAATTGATGAAACATGAACAAAAAGAAGGAAAATGATAAAGACAACGAAAGAAAATTTGTGATTTATATGATGAATTACATGGCTATTCCACGTTGGTAATTTAGGATAAATTTGTTTATTCATTTATTATATGGAAAAAAAAAAACCCAATGGCAAAAAAAAAACCATCCTATAAAATAAGAACAATGGTAAGGTTTTTATGAATTTGTCCAACAACAGTTGGATTCGGGCCTCCATTAAAAAAGGAAAACCCTAATCATCATCATCCTTGCCTTATTCCTGTTGAAATATATGTATTATTATTATTTATTTATTTATTTTTCAGCTGTTTTCAGTCTTTTATTAGGTGTTTTATGTAAGATCCCTATTATCATTGGATCACGTAGACAGGATACCTGTAATCATGGGATCACGTAGATAAGATCCCCATAATCATGGGATCATGTAGATTTTGGCATATTTCCTATTTTTCTTTGATTTGGTTTCCTTTCTTTGTACCCTATACTTATATATAAATATAGCTCTTGGCTCTCGGTTTGAATAAACCAAAACCCAAAACTTCTTCTTTTTGGTATCAGAGCAAAACAAAAACCTTTGCTTCCCCATCTTCCTCCCCAACGCAACCACCTTCTCTCTCCCTCTCTCCATTTTCCCTCACCTCCGGCGCACCTCCATCTCCTCCCAGCCCTTGCATTGGACCCCTCGAGTAACCCTCTGTTTTTTACTCCTTTCTTAGGAGAATTCCCTTAGGTTTTTTATGACCTAAGGGTCCTTCTGGTGTTCTTTTTTCTTTGTGGCTTGCCTATGTTTGTTTGGCAGCATATTTAGAGGAAAGCGCTGATTTTTCCGGCCTTTTTTTTTTTTTTTTCCTCTTTCCTCATGCTTTGACATGTGGACCAACCTTATTTTGGGTATTGTGATTGATTCCAGTAGCCAAAAGGACACTTTATCCTCAGTCCAGCATACTTTATCTTCGGCGCACATCATACTCCGGCATAATGGGTTACTAGTGTGCTCTTGAATGGGTGCAACTTCGTATCTTGGTCCCGTTCTCTTCAACTCTATATTGGAGGGAAAAGGAAAATTCGTTGGCTTTTGGGTTTAGTCAAGGAACTGGAAAATACGGATACTAAATACATTGCATGGGACATGGATATGCACCATTCTAGGTTGGATCTTCAACTCAATGGAGGAGTGTATCTATAATATGTTCATGTTTCACGCCTCTGTTTTTCGTCTGTGGCAAGCCCTTAACAAGATATATGCCCATTCTCGCAATGATGCTCGTATCTTTGAACTCTATTGGGAGACTGCTCATACATCTCAGGAGACACTCAAGCTGTCAATACAGAGTATTTTGGGTACCTCCAGTCTAGGTGGGAAGAATTAGCATAGTATGAACCTCTCTCCGATTTCTCTGAAGAAGCTGCAACTCTTTTGGTCAAGAGACTAGACCACCAGCATACCTACCAGTTTTTGATGGGTTTACGATCTAAGTATGACGCTCTTAGAACTCAGATCATAAACACCTCTCTTATGCTTGATTTATATGATGCCTTCGCTATTGTTGACCATGAGGAGCATAGACATCAGATCTCTCAACCAATAGCTTTACCAAAGACTCCAGTTGATCAGATGGCTCTTGTTGCTAATTCTAGACTTTCAGAGGGAAAGGTTATTTGTCAGCATTATGGAGCCACGGGTCATGTAAAGGATCGTTGCTTTAAGCTTCATCCCGAGCTAAAGCAGAAATTTTCTCGCAATTGTCCTTCTGGCCGTGGCCGCACTGCCGCAGTAACCGATACTATTGGTGGACTCCACAGATTGCCAAATCACTAAACTGTGCAATGATTTTCTTTCCTCATTATTGTGTTTTACAGGACCTATGTTCGAAGAGGATTTTGGAAGGGGATATGAGCACAATGGCCACTACTACTTTAGGGATCCTCCACCGACACCTCCTTCACTTGCTTCAAGCCTTCAAACCCCTGATCTTCCAGTTTCTAGATCTTATGATTTTTCTTTTCAGACTTTAAATTTATGGAATGCTCACCTTGGGCATGTAAACTTTCAGTAGTTAAGTTTGTTTTTCCCTTTATTAATAACGGCTTGTAAGGATAATAAGTTTCAATGTGAGATTTGCGAACTTTCTAAACATACTAGAACCAGTTATATTTCTCATATGCATCGTGCATCTAGTATGTTTGATCTCATAAATTCTGATGTGTGGGGGTCCTTCTCCTGTTACTGCTTTTTCGGGGCATCGTTATTATGTCACATTCATTAATTATTATTCCAGCTGCACATGGGGTATATTTACTTAAAAAGAAATCTGAAGTTTTTCCCTTGTTCACTTAATTCCTCCAAATGAATAAAACTCAATATAATACTGTTGTTAGAAATATTAGGTTTGACAATGGTCGTGAATATGTTTCCAATGAGTTTCGGTCTCAACTTAACCAACAGGGTATTCTTCATCAACTTACTTGTCCATATACCCCTAAAACGAATGGTGTGGCAGAGCATAAAAACCACAAACTAATGTCAGTTGTTCGATGTCTTTTAAGTGGTATGAATGTTTAAGCTACTTTTCTCATTAATCATACCCCTAGTAGAGTATTAAATGGTAAGGTCCCCTTACAAGTGCTTCAGCCTGATATTACTCTTTTTTCCATCATGCCCCGGGTGTTTGGATGTACATGTTTTGTTTAGAATCGTAACCCTTCTCGTACTAAACTTGATGACAAGGCCATTAAATGTATCTTTTTAGGATACTCTTCAATGTCAAAAGGTTACCAGTGTTATGATCCTGTACACAAACACATGTATCACTCTCTTAATGTCACCTTTCATAAGCATACTCCCGAGCAAGAGGCTTCTCCTTTTGCTCGTCCTCTTCCTATTTTTCAAGAAAAGTCTCCTCTTGTGGTTTCCTCACCCCCTTTGCAGGTCTATTCTCGCCGCCCTCGTGCTCCGCCTCCACTGCTTTCATCCTCCTCAGATACAGGTTCAGGTACATCTCCTCTCTCTACTTTACATTTCCCTGACCCTGTTCCTAAATCTCGGTATCCCACTCGAGACCCCAAACCCCCTTGCTCAATTTGGATTCGTTTGTAGTATTGATCATCTTATTTCGCAGTCTATCTCTTATGATGGTCTTTCAGGGTCTTACCGAGCCTTTCTAGGCAAACTTGATTCTATTTCCATTCCCAGAAATGTCTCTAAGGCTCTCCGAAATCCCAATTAGATGTCTACTATGATGGTAGAAATGGATGCTTTACAGCAAAATGAAACATGGGAGCTTGTATCTCTACCTCCTGGTGAAAAGACTGTTAGTTGCAAATGGGTATTCAGTGTTAAATATCTGGCCGATGGCTTTATTGATCGGTATAAGGCCTGTTTGGTGGCCAAAGGGTTTACTCAGATTGCTGTTAAAGACTTTAATGATACCTTCGCAAGACTTTAATGATACCTTCGCTCCAGTGGCTAAATTGACCTCAGTTCGTTTGCTTGTCTCCCTGGCTGCCTCTCACAATTGGCTTCTTTATCAGCTGGATGTGAAGAATGCTTTCCTTAACGGTGATCTTCTTGAGACTATTTATATGGATCCTCCACCCAATTTTCGGGCTGAGGGGGAGTATGCTAGAAAGGTCTGTCGATTGCGGAAGTCTTTGTATAGGTTAAAACAATCTCTCAGAGCTTGGTTCAGCCACTTCAGTGACGTAATTCTATCTATGGAGTTTGTTAGATGCCATTCTAACCATATGTGTTTTATCCACCGATCCTCCACTGGTCGATGTATCATTCTTCTTCTCTGTGTTGATGATATCATCATTACTGGCAATGACATCCCTGGGATTGCTCAAGTAAAGCTTTAATTGGATAAAGCTTTTGATGTGAAAGACCTTAGACAGCTCATATATTTCTTAGGAATTGAGGTTGCTAGATCTAAGCAGGGTATCTCTTTATCGCAAAGGAAGTATGTCTTGGATCTTCTTCGAGACACAGGTATGCTTGGGTGTAAACCTGCTTCCACTCTATGGATCCTAATATGAAGATCTCGGTTGAGTCTAGAGATCTCCTTTCTGATCCTCGCAGTATCAGCGCTTGGTAGGAAGATTGATTTATCTTACCAACACCCGTCCTGATTTGGCTTTTGCTGTTAGTGTTGTGAGTCAATTTATGCATGTTTCTCGTACAACTCATATGGATGCAGCATATCATATTCTTCGATATGTTAAGTCCTGTCCTGGACTTGGATTATTCTATTATTCTAGTAGGCAGGTTGGGCTATCTTGTTTCAGTGATGCAGACTATTCTGGGTCCGAGACTGATAGACGTTCCACATCTGGCTTCTCTACTTTCTATGGAGATCATCTTATATCCTGGAAAAGTAAAAAGCAACCTGTAGTTTCGAGATCTTTAGCAGAGGCTGAGTATCGTGCCATGGCCCAGGGTACTTGTGAGATTCTCTGGCTTCGATCTTTCTTGGAGGAACTAGGGCTAAGTGAAAAACAATCCTCAAACTTGTTTTGTGATAATAAGTTAGCCATCATGCTTGCTTCAGATTCTGTTCTTCATGAGAGGATTAAACATATAGAGGTGGACATTCATTTTATCAGAGAAAAGGTTTCCTTGGGAATTATCAAGCCGTGCTTTATTCGGTCCTCTAATCAGTCGGCAGATGTGTTCACCAAATCCATTGGTCCATCTTTGCTTCATTCCTCGATTACCAAGTTGGGCTTGATTGATATCTTCACTCCAGCTTGAGGTGGAGTGTTGAAATATCTGTATTATTATTATTATTATTATTATTTTTTATTAGCTATTTTCAACCTTTTATTAGGTGTTTTATGCAAGATCCCTATTATCATGGGATCACGTAGATAAGATCCCCGTAATCATAAGATCACGTAGATTTTGGCATATTTCCTATTTTTATTTGATTTGGTTTCCTTTCTTTGTACACTAAATCAAAATCTTGCATTGCATATGCATATGCATAATCAGTCCTAGCTTTTCAGGACAAGCATGGAACCAAACCTTTCACTCTGGAAGTAACACAAATGCCTAGTCCCACAAATGTAGTGTTGCAATAAATGATATATTAGCATGAGATAACTAATCTGGCGATTTAAATGTAAGCAATTAAGTTATGTGATTAGTCTCTCAATTAAAGTAATACTTCACTGTTGGCAAAAAAATTAGCTTGGTTTAATAATATTTGATTTTGGCACTTCATACATGGTTAATTAAAATAATTTCTATCTGAAGGATACGGAAAATAGATGGCCAAAAATCATTTTATAATCTGAGGTTTTTACACTTCATAGACTCAATCATATTCGTAACCAAAACAACAAATGGCATACTCAAGAAGTTAGAGGAGGTAACCATCAAACGGAAGACAAGAAAAGTTATCTAAGATGGAGGTGCAACATGTAACAAACACTAACAGAATGCAAAAATATGTGAGACTGATTTTATTCAAGTACATGACAACCAAAAGAACAACACAAGGGGCAAAAAACTTGGATTGATGAGGTGAGAGAAGATATGAATGCCTATGATTCTATGAATGATCTGCCATCAGATAGACCTAAGCACCTGACAAATATATATATATATATATATAAGTAATCTAAAGACATGTTGAAATTAAGTTTATGTTAAGTTCAATTAAGTTCAAAACCGTTTATACATAATCTAATAGTTATTGGCTACAAATCTCTGCTTATAGAACACACAACCATCGTTAAAGGTAACCCCAAGGGGGTGGAGTTGTTGGCCAAGAACACGACTCACGGGGCGGAGGTCCTGGGTTCGATGCCTCACAGTACTACTCATTGGGGCCTGTGACGTGTCGGAAGGAGAATGATCCCACCCAAAGGGCAAGGACTCCCCTATAAGTCAACAAAAAGAAAGGAACAGAAAAAAGAACCATTAAAGGTACTTAGGTACTTTGCATTTTGAGTACTAATCATGTTAAGATGCTAAACGGAAGACATAATTAATTTTTCATACAATATTGCTGTTGCATGGCTGGTGGCATACAATGGAGCAACCATCGACACAAACCAAGTGTATCCTAAGAGTCCATAAGCAAGAAATATTATGGCATCAATAATACCTCTTATTTATTCCTTAGCATGGGCCTCTACTAAGTTTTGCATTTCATGATAAATTGTGTCATTAGGAAAGAAAACGTAATTATATTAGTAAAACGACATTATACAAGACAAATTCATTCTCTGCGTTAGGTGGACGCTTCAGAACTTCCAAAAGAAATCAACAATTAATTCACCAATTCTTAATATAGAAAAGGAGAAGGTAGTTTCCAAGTGATAGGGTAGCGAATCCATCTGCTCATTTCATAGAAATATTAGGACGTAATTTGGTTTTAATTATTTATTTTATTTTTTTCTTTTTGATTGGTTGAGAGAGAGAGAGAAAATGTTGAGTCCTGTAACTTGCACTAAGATTCCATAACTTTCTGGGCCAAATATCAATGGAAAAAAGAGAAAAAGACGTCGCAAGAAGAGGAAAAACTATCAAACTTTTAAACATTACTCTTTCATCTCATTATTGGTTATTTGTCATAACAATAACAATAAACTAGCATTACCTGATTATATTGCCATGATTCAGTTCCTGCAAAAGTGAGATTTCTCTTATTACATAACTGGGGACACCTTCATCTTGATCCATAAAGATAATCCTCTTCAGAGCTACAGTTTTATTGGTTGCACGTTCACGGCACTTGTAAACCACACCAAAACTGCCTTCTCCAATCTTCTCAATCAGCTGATACTGCAAATCCAACAGCATGAACAACCATTCAAGGAGACTTGGAGAAGCATCAAAATAAATTAGAAGTAAGAAACCTTACCTTAGCGTCCATTTATCAGGTCAAGCAGGACCAACACCGAAGGAAATCTGAAGTTTTTGAGCTATAAAAATGAAAAATGGAGTTCTAATAAACGACCAATTAACAAGGGAAAATAAATGGATGTGTTAACAAATAATCAAGCTAACCCTCAAAATAGGACAGTTGATAGTCATGAAATACAAATAAACTCAAGAACTTGCAAACCACAAATCTGCATTGGGAAGAAAGAAAATAACTAATGGTAAAACAAATCAACTCAGAAACTTCCAAAATTTTAACCATTACAAGTACAAAAAGAACTGAAACCAGATGTGCCAGAAGAAGAAAATTCGGAGGGACATTTGACCAGAACTTAAAAGCCGTAAATGCAATGAGTGGTCATCCATAAACAAATGTATTGAAACTCTCAGTCCTGAACAAAGTTTTCAGTGCTAGACATGCCAAAGGTAGTCATGGGTGGACTAAATTGAAAATGAAAAATTAAAAATAAGAAATTTCTAAAAATTAGTTTTTGGAATTTCTTGGATCCAATTGGGAATAAATTTCCTTTTTCCCTTTTCATTTCTAACGTACACAGCTTAAAAAAGGGTAAACCCAAAAATCTCATTTTATTCCGTCTGCTGCAAAATATTTTACATTTTCTTTAGCCAATCACTATAGAAATCAAAACTCCAAAAGTTGCATGGTTATTAATAACTTCAATATTGTATTATACATACAAGTGTTCCTATTTCATCCTTCTTTATTTACCATTGCCCACATAGCCTCCAAAATATCTTACAAGTCTTACTAAGCAAGATGCTAAGCATCAAAAGAAACTCGCTACTGAGTCACTATACTGTTTCTTTTCTTGGTGCATCCTCAGATTTTCCTTCACCTTTCTTTTCTATTTATAGAAACATTATTTCTTTGTGCATCCACAGTTTTTCCTTCACTCTTTTTTCCTTCTATTTTATTCCATGCCGATGGAATGCATCTTTAAGTAAACACAACTAACAAATAATTCAATTAACTTTATAAAATAATTCACGTGATTTATCATAAGAAATAATAACATTTCACCTGCCTCAAATGTTAGCAGCCTTTTTCAGCCATTTTGTGACTAGTTTGCCTGTGGAAGAACCTCAAAACTTAAATTCATCACGTAGCAATGGGAAAACAGATCCTTCTTTGTACACTGTATGAGTTTAATAGAGCTTCTAACGTCGAAAGTCATGTGTAACTTGAATAATAGAAATAACTTATAAACAACAAAGATTAATGGTCAGAGATATAAAAACACCAAAATGGGAATAGGAAGAGAAAATTAATAATATAGTAGCACAGTTCAGTCTGATGGTTGTTGAAATCTAATCAACTATCGTCGAATGCACTTACTTCAAGTTTTAGTACTTTCTCTTCCTTTTTCTTTTTTCTATATTTTCTTTTTCTTTTGGTAGGTAACGACAATGAAGAAAATAAACATAAAATATATATAAGTATAAAGCAGAAGAGAGCACATCCTACAGAAAAAACAAACAGCACAGCTGGCCAATAAAAGACAAACATTGATATACACATCTCCAATAAAGCTACACTGGCAACCAACAATGAACCGAAGAAACAATGACAACTATCTCCAAAGTCCAAACATAAACTACATTCTAAACCAAGTCATAGGTAGTTTCCAACTAAAACCTATTTCCTACTTCTGATCATGATGACCATCTAGCTCGGACTTCCTCCTTAATCCTGTAAGGCACCCTGGAGCTTTTATTACTACTACTATTCATAACTTTGCAATTTATTTGTTCCAAAGATGGCAGAAGCTGTCATAGCCAATATCACTTGAACAACATTTTTTCATTACTAGTACTATTCGTAGCTCTGCAATTTATTTGTTCCAAATATGGCATACACGAACTGTGAAATCCAGAATCAGTTGAACAACAATAGTTTTATCCTTATATTTCCTGTGAACCCAACCTACTTCAGAGCCACTTCACACGAGCTTATAAATATAACAATTTGCATATTATGTTTTCCAACAGGAGCATCTGAAAAGATTATGGTTAATAGTTTCTGTAGCACCAGAATGTAGTAAAAAACTAAAACTATTAAAAGTTTCTGTTTCCCATACAGTCATTTTACCCCCTAGTTGGTAGTCTTCCTCAAGGGTTGACCAAAGAATGAATACATGCACAAAAAATATCTAATTTCTACTGTCAATTCAATACCAAAAAGAATAACTCGCACTTGATTATTAAGTCCACAAAGTAGTCATGCTCAACAAATTCCCCAAAGATGCGTTGAGGGGGTACTCCTATTGTGAAGCCGAGAAATTCTAGCAAATGTTCAGCAGAATTAACACCATCTCTCAAGATATGAGCTACTATTGCAGAGAAGGGATGGCTACTTTATATATAATTACAAACATCTCTATAAAAGTTGGACCAATTTGTTGCCACTTATCTGTCTGTGCCGGCAGAACAACATAGTCCATAAAACTATCATAGAATTCCATAAGACTAGACAATAGAATACCACTCTACTGTTTGATAACTATTCATAACACATCCACATCAAAACTCCCATATGCAAACAGAGTCAATAAAATACTGTCTTCCTCACCAATTCAACAGAAATAAAGGATGCTCGAGATTGCAAAACATATTAACTGTTTGATCATTAAGATCAACTACTAAATTCTTCAATTATGTAGATGATAATTTCATCTCAAAAGTTGTGAATTCTATCTTCAAATGCTTCAATCGTTTACACAAGTGTATAATATTCGATCTATGCAACCTATGAAATTGTAATTTGTACGGTTAATGAACAGCTATCTTGCACATTCAAAACCATCTTTATATACTATTAAGCCACAAGTTCTGAATTCTATCTTCAAATGCTTCAATTGTTTACACAAGTGTATAATATTCCATCTATGCAACCTAAGAAATTGTAATTTGTACCGTTAATGAACATATATCTTGCACATTCGAAAGCAACTTTATATACTATTAAGCCACAAGTTCTTCAGCAACTTGTACAATCAGAATATCAGACCAACGATTCAATGAAGCACAAGATATCAGACCAACGATTCAATGAAGCACAAAACAACTAGAAAGTTTCTACAGAAAATCATCCTAAATATATAGAAGATTTCATACAGATCTATGCATATAGAATATATAAATATATATGTACAGTCGCTAGGGCTTACATAGCTTAATACAGATCTATGCATATAGAAGATGTCATATATATTTATGTATGCTTAATACAAATCTATGCTTACATAGGTTATATATCTGTGCACGCACAAGCTTCAGACATACATAGCAATCAAGAGATCGTAGGGATCTGACAAAGCTCAAGCTAAACAAAAATTCAAAAATTAAAACTAAGATACTATAATTGAAATTGAAGATTTAATAGAAATTGAAGATATAATTGAAATTGAAGATGATACGTGTGTGTGTGTGTGTGTGAAAGTGTCTGTAGAAGTGTGAGTTTAGAGACAGAGGAGAGAGAGAGAGTTTACTTGAAGAAATAGTGACGATCACCGGTTTTGCCCTAATTTTCCGATTGTTTCTGAAATCGGACTAGAGTTGCAGACAGATTTTCAAAGTGAAATGAGGAGAGAGAATCTTGTTTATACACACAAATACAGTGGCGCAACTGCATTTCCCTCCAAAATCTATAAGAGGAGATACTGGGTGTGGCACTTGTACAGTGCTCTCCATCATCCAACCTCCCAGCACCGTTTGATGTAACACTCGTAACAGTCCCTCTCCATTATCCAACCTGTTAGCACCGTTGAATGTAGCACTCGTATGGTGCTTCTGGACGTCTGTTGAATGCATTGAAGGCAAGTTTGGGTATGTTTCTTTTTTCTTACTTATTTGGGTAAGTTTTGTTTATTAATTCTTAAAATTCCGTCTTTTCTAATATGCAGTTTCTATTATTCTTTTCTGTGGACCTTATTTAGAAGAAATACATTGATAATTGTGCAATTTATATTACATCCATATTTATTAATATTAAAAGTACAAAAAATATGGAAGGATAATACTATCAGTAAGATTTGTTACATTTTGCATAATTAGTTATAAAAAAGATCCAAATTCAAAAGAAAAAAAAAAAATTTATGTTTTTGTTACTATAGGTGAACAACTGTAGCAATTATTTAAAAAAAAAAAAAATCAATATAACATATAAAAAATTTTGTTCTTACAATCATTCAAATATTACTTTGTGCTTTTATTACTGCACGGCAAATTTAGTTATTAAAGTGTTCATAGTTCAAAATAAATCACAAAAAAACAAAAAGAAATTTTATACCTTGTATAAAATAAAATGATAAATTGCAGTGACATCTCCTTTCGATCAACGTCACTCAACGGACGGTCAATGGCTCTTTTTACATTGACACTCCTTGATGTTTCAAAAATATGTATTGACATTTCCTCCAGACCTCTGAAATTACCTTTTAGCCATTTGACTAGTCAACACAAGTGCAAGAAATATATATAGACCAAACTAATATGTAATGCCCCAAATTTTTTTTCGAATTTTTTAGTATTTTTATTTATTTATATTATTTTTTGCACCTTGGTGTGCGAATCATGTGGGTCCTTTTATTTTTCCTCCTATTGATTCCTTTTATCTATTTAATTAATTAAGGTATATGCTTATGTAGGCGTTAGTGTAGTTGAGTGAACAAGAGATATTTATATGGCATGTGTGTAATTAATTTTGAAAAGCGAGGCCATTATGGTAACTTGGAAGGTCAAAGAGTGACTCATTGTTGACTACTTATTTTAGAAAGGATTAGACGCCATATTTGGACCTCATTTTCTTCCTCTCTCATCTGGCACCTTATATCTCCCTCTACATTTTTTTTCTCTCTATATTCATCTCCATTCTTTCTAAATTTCTACAAGCTAAATGGAGATTTGATCCATGCTGTAAAGGGCAAAGTTGTAGATAGATGCAAGGGCTTCGTTTTGATACTGATCTTGCTAGCATTATGAGGATTTCGAGATTTAAGTTCTTAGAGCTTGGGTTGTTAACTCGAGGTAAGGGTGTCTAGATCATTAAGTTTTGACTTTTGTTGAGCTCTCTTGTTTGATTTCTTACTAAGCATGTTTAGATTGATAGATTTTGAAGTGAAGAAGTTGGTTATGTGTTTATGTGAAGAAAGCATATTCAAAGATGATGTTGTTTGTGTATATATATACTTAGTTGCAAAATTATTTAAAAAGCTTGCCTTGTGATAATTTGTTTTCTTGAAATTACATATATATACATGATGTTGACGATAACGACGATGATGACGACGACGACGACGACGACGACGATGATGAGCATCTATGGTTAAATTGATAAAGTTGCAAAGCATGTATATGTTGATTTCATTCATTCATGTTATGGGCATGGTAAGGGGATTGGGGTGAAATTATTTTATAAATTGTTTTGGAAGGTTTTTTAGAAAGAAATAGTGTTTTAATATTTTCAAAAGGGAAATGTTTTATGGAAGAAATGGGTTTTGTGAAAAGAATCGGGTTTCGCAAGCCTGGGGGTAATTCGATTTAGAGGGAACGCGTGCCGGATTTAGATGTGTAACATTAATTACTAGACCCCAAATGGTTGCTAGATTTGGAACTAGGGATATCTAATCAATCTCGCCTCGGTAAAGTCGGAAAGGCATTGTTGTAAGCAATTTCATTATAAATATAATTCATAGCTCTGAGTACATAAACCTTGATAAGAAACATACCCGACATTTTTAGAAGTTTCTTCAACCCTCCACCCAACTGCTAAAATTGAACGATGGATTTCAGACCCTTTTATCGGATATTTATAGAGGGTTGGGACCGTTCCTTATTAGTTAAGAAAAAGAGGCGTTAGTTCCATCAACAGACGCATCCCTCTACAAACAACTAATAATATACTAAAACAAAGCATCACAACTCTTAATTATATATAAGTGACTATTCATTCAAATATATTGATAACTAAATATTAATTAAATATTGTTAGACTATTAATTTTTTTGCTTATATTCTCCCACTTAGTCTAACGATAATTAATTTTGATCAGTTCAAGATTAAAATGATCATTAATTGTACTCCAAAAGTTAATCCATATACTTATAAGAAACACCTCTTCCATTCAATTTGGAGTACCTTCGAGTCTACTAATATGGTGTAATACCCCTAGAATTTAAAGGAATTATTTAATTAAATAAATTGCCTTTAAATGGATTTACTGGTTTAAATTAATTTATTTGTTTATTTGATTTATTGGAATGATGATTGTGTGTGTGTTGGGTGCTTGATTGTTGATGTGTTGACCTTGATTGTATGAAATGACTTTGTTGATTGTTTGTGTATGTGATGTGTGTAATTAGTTGTTTTAATTATTTGATTTATTTATTTATTTTATTAAATGGACTGGACTTGGAAATGGATTAAAGGATTTGGTGATGGTATATATATATAAATATATTATACTTACTGTATTTATATATATATATATATATATATATATACACACACACACACACATATGTTTATATGTATATTACGTATATATATGTGGGGAGTTATCAGATTAGGGTTAGGAGGCTAGGTATATGTATATATATATACACACATATATATATACCTATTGTGTGACCCTTGGAGAGGGTTTTTACGTGAGGAAGAGAGACGGCAGAGAGGGTCTGCAGAGAGAAAGAAAGAGAGAGAGAGTTGCAGAGAAGGGAGAACCGATGAAGAAGAAAAAAGGAGGCCGAACCAAAGGGGAGGCCAAACCAGAGGGCAGCCGGAATTTCTAAACAAATCAGAGAATCTTGCGACGTCAGTTTCGTTTTGAAACTTCAGGCAAGTTCTTCTCTTATTGAGTGTGCACAGCGGAATGGTTGTGGAATATATTATATGGATATATAATCTAGAGAGATGGTAAATAGATTCAACTTGCTCTTTTATCTAATTTTTACTTATTTTAATTTTACCGAAATAAAACTAAAATCAAACCACAAAGCAAAAATAAAGTGCAAGTAAAGTAAATAGAGTTCGAGAGATGACACCAGAATTTTATCGAGGAAACCCCAATTGGTAGAATAGACCAATTGTAACAGGAAAAACCTCATTGGACTACGCAGTCCTGAGATAAACGATCCACTATGTTTGAAGTAAAGTATATCGAACTTTGACTCAGTCTCATACCCCATCGTTCTACCAAAAACCAATTGCTGACAATCCCTGGCTTTGCGACTCCCCCGTCCAACAGCTCTCGACCTCAGGCTTACTCTCAATCTCTGTAGAAGAGTTGCAGGTAGATCAGACAACACTCCACGAATGCTCTGACCCCTTCAAAGTGTGATCGCTTTACCCATTTTCTTCTAGATCTGAATTTGACGAAGAATGAATGAATTCTGCTTTTCCAGAATTTCCGAATCTTCAATTATGCTTCAATTCCGATGAGATATAGAACAACACTCCTAAATCACTCTTGTGTTTATGTGTGTGCTCTTAAAAATAAAATCAAAAAAATCAGATTGATTTTCTGAAGGAATAAAAAATATCTCTCAAAAAGGGCTCTAAAAAAGATCTGTATTTTTTTTTATGCAAAAGCCACCAATAAAAATATCTCTCTAAAGGCTTTCTCAAAATATAGAATTGATGTTTTTTAAAGCCATGAATAAACCAATGTATATGACAATGTTTATATAGAGTTTAGAAAGTCCTAATCCCTCAGAAAATAAGATAAAATTCGTGCATAGGATTTGGTACAATTCTAGACCAACTAGGAGAGAAATCTGAAACAAGAAACTAAACTTTCCATAGGCTATCAGGACTCTTGAACCTGTTCAAAGAATTGGGAACATGTTCAAGAATGGCAGAATGTTTTTCGAGGCCAATGTTAAAGACTCGAACCTATTCAAAGAATTGGGAACAGGTTCAAAAATGACATAATGTTTTCTAGGCCAAATTCAAATGGCTTGAACTTGTTCCAAGAATCATGAACAGGTTTAAATCTGCCAAACTTGATTCCTAAGGTTCTAGGCACTGTTTTTGGTATATTCTGAAACTTACTAAATATGGAATGTGGCCTAACCTTTTTAGATTCCTTCCTAAAGTATTGTTCTTACCTATCTCGAATGATCTCAATCATGGTAACTTTGAACAACCTTCCAATTCTGCAGTTGCTATCGATCCGGATATGGTAACTTAAATAACAACTCGAAAGGACTTGTTTTGACACCGAAAGTTGCCAATTACAGAATATATATGTTTTACAATCTTCCCAAAATATATACCTTACAATCTCCCCCTTTGGCAATTTCGTGACAAAACCCTAAAAACAACATGTAATCTACCCAAGCAGAAAAAACAAATTATAATGATTGTCAAAGAAATAAAACGGAACTCTTCTTAAACATCATGAAGCTTCAATACATGTTACAACCTGTAATCTGTACATTAGCTCAACAAAACTACCCATGAAGCTTAATCAAGAAAGATAAACAATCAACATATATCAATATGTGAAAATCAATATATATATATCTTCCTCTCAATTCTAGAAACTCTCCCCCTCAATTATGCACATTCTCCCCCTTTTTGTTACAAATTGACAAATAGAGCTCAACAAAGAAGGAAAAGAAATAATGTGGGAGAATTAAAAGAAGAGAGATCAAAACACAAAAACATGATGATATATAGTAGCAATGGAACCAAAGACAACTATCCAAGATAACACATGTTCCATCCACTAGATAAATAGAACCAATCAAGTTCAAAATCACACACTTGATATCTCCATCGAATTAAAAACAAAAATTCCTAATAAAAACTGAAAGAAAA